CTCTGAATAACTGATACAAAATATGCTAAAGAAATGTATTTAGGGTGGTAGATTTTATTTTCTGACAATATACATCCTATTTTATGCAATGAGAGAGAGATACAGTCACCCAGTAGAAATCAAAATTGCTTCTTACTATTTCTTTTGTAGGAAAAAGTGAAAAAATGATTTTCTTTAAAACTTCTACTAGGTGTAGAGACACACACTTGTACTCCCAACACTCTTGGAGGCTGAGGCAGGAGAATTACAAGTGTGAGTCTAGTCTGGGATATATAGCAACTTAGCAAAACCCTGCCTCAAAATGAAAAATAAAACACCTAGGATGCAGCCCAGTATGAAGGCCCTGGGCTCCTTTTTTGGTGCCACCAAGAGAAAAGTTCCAGCAGTGGAAACTCACTGTGAATACTAGCATTTCTTTATTTCTTCTGTTTAAACAGAAGTTAATTCCCAGTCCTCACTGAACATTTCCCGTGAGTTGGCGTGTGAACGAGTGATGAGAATGTTCTTGGTTTCATTTCTTTACAGCCAAGAGAACGGAACACTGAAAAGTCACGATTGCATCTTGATTTACAAATCGGAGACACAGGGCAACAAAGACCACACTCCAGAGAGCAGCCTAATTGGACTCACCACCAAGATGCTGAAAGTGAAGCGGTTAGAGGAAATCAACACGTGTTACAGCAGCAGTGGGCTGGAGGAAGTGACATTTTTCCAGTGCATGAAAGAGGTGGAGAAGGTGAAATGCTTTCTGGATGAAAATCCCAGCGAACTGGTTTCAAGTTCTGGAAAAAATGAGGTAATTATATGCTGATTTTAAAAGCATCACTTCTACCTTATCTTCCTTATACCAAGAAGCCATTTCTCTGACCCTGTTCAAGTTCTCTTTGGTTACTGGTGGGTAGAATTGAAGGTGATGTATAGCTAGGTAAATCCCACTATGTTTCACTGAGAATTGTGCGTGAACTTTTCAGCTGAGTTTGGTTAGCAATTAGGAGGCCTTTGGCTATGCACTTGTCCCTGTCGGCTCGCTCCTCCACTGTGTAACTAGTAGCTTAGGAGTTTCCAAGCGAGTTTTGTATAGGCTGGGTGTAGCCCGGTGGTAGAGCTTTTGTGAAGCCCTGGGCTCCATCCCAAGCAGCCCATTTTCCTTCTCTCTTTGGGGAGGCTGAGTGAGCAGCCTTGAGCCTGTGCTGTACCACTGAGCTCTACCTCTGGGCCCATGCCTAGCATTTAATCAACGTGCGCCCCCAGCGGCAGCAGCAGCAGCAGTTCCTCCCTGGTTCCCACTCAGCACCACTGAGCTGCCTTGTGCTCAGGCCTTTACTCCAGCCCATGCAATGGTCTTTAATGCGTTCAGCACCTCGCCCTAGACAGGGCCCCTGCAGGTCAGGACCTTGTGTTCCTTGTCTCTCTATCCTTGGTTGCTTTCCCAGTCATGTGCATGTAATAGGCAGCAAAAGGATCTGTGGTTCGAACAGACTGATTCAAGTGAACTCTGCCTTCTGGTTGAGGGCTAGGAATCATCGCTGTTAATAATCAGAACGAGTGGTTCTTGTGAGGCAGCTTTGGAAAACATCCTTCCTAGCCCAGCTACTGCTCTGAAAAATGCTATTCAGGTAGGAGGGCATCTCTGGTGACACAGTAGACAACAAAGTGGAGATATTGTATATAAAAAGCCTAGGAGGTATTTCACTATGAGTGAATAAGGAATGATAAAACGTGCTGGGGAAAGAACTGAATCACACTGATGTAGTTTTTTTGAGACCTCTGTTTTCCTTATGAGTTAATATTCTTTCTCGTCTTCCTCTTCCTTCTTTCCTCCTCCCCCTTCTCTTCCTTCTTCCTCTTCCTCTTCTTCTTCTTTTGATTCTCTTTTTTATTTTATTTTATTTTATTTTATGAAATGAGAACCACTGTTATCCAGGTTGGCCCTGAACTCCTGGGTTGAAACCATCCTCCTGCCTCAGCCTCCTGCCTGGCTAATTAATATTTTATGCAATATAGGAAAAGAAAACATTTCCATAAGCAAAATTTGTGAAACATGAAAGACTTTCTCACTGGGCCTATTAATATTTTAAATCAATAAACAGAAGATTTTTTTCCCTCTAGTTCGTGAATTTCTGTGGGGCATAGAAAATAAAATATCCTTCTTGCATAACCTCCTATAACTCTGAAATCATTAACTAACTGTGATCATTTATATAAATTTGATTATTTTTCAAGTATAGTTTTTCTCCAACTTTTCTGATGAAATTTTTAAAGCAGGCACACATTTTTAAGCAGTGAGATTATGGTAAGTTGGAAGATAAACATTGTTAAGGTGAGTTACTTTTCTCGTTACCACCTGTCCCACAGTGTTAGACGTCAATGGCTTGGAAGTTACATATGCTTTAGGATTACTTCAGGAGAAGACGGAGAAGGTCTCAGTCTGAAGAAAGACTAGTAAAAGGGAGCCCACTCGCTTTGTCGCCTGCTGGCTTCCGGCCTGCAGTTGAAAAGTGGGTGATGTGGGAGGGCGGAGGGACGAGGAACAGTGTGGGTCTCATTCAGTTTCTTATGTGTACATGGAGAAGAGCCCAGAGAGGTCAGCAGTACGTTTCCGTGCGTCTCCTGCCATGGGGATGATGGATGCTCCAGAGCTGTCCTTCGCCTGGGGCCAGGGCCCGGCTCAGAGCTGAGCAGCCAGCAGGCCTGGTTTCTCCGGGCTCGGCTCGGGTGTCCGCAGGTATGCAGACAGAGCTAGATTAACACGTCTCCGTCTTCTGCTGTGGCTGCAGTAAATCTTTACAATGCTGCTCTTCCCTTGCCAGGGACTGTTAAAAAAAGGCTGTCAACTTTCTCTCCTTTGCTGGCTTTCTCTCTGATATCTTCTCTGAGAAGATTAGCGCTGCTAATCATAGTAGAGACATTCCGTGGGTGCCGAGAAGCATTTACTCTGAATTTCACGTCCTCTGATGACAAGAAAACTTTCGTCTAGGAGCTTGAAGCTCAAGTTCTTTCTAGAAGAGAGTTTACACTGTAGACCCAAGAGCAGGAAAGTTATACACAAATTTCACAATCTCTATTTATTAAAAGTTTGATAGAACTCATTATTTTCCTTTTCCTGCTTTTTAACCAGATTTTTCCATTTCATTTATTTTTCTTCTGCTAACTTTTTATTTACTTATTTACTTATTTATTTATTTATCTTTTTGAGGCAGGGTCTCGCTATGCAGTTCAGGCTGGCCTTGAGCTCACTCTGTAGCTCAGTCTCCTCTCAAACTTATGACGATCCTACTGCCTCAGCCTCCTGAGTGCTGTGATTACAGGCATGCACTACCATGCCTGATGCCTGCTAACTTCATTTTTAACTTTCTTGTCCTCTTTTTAAAATTTATTGAGTGCTACATATTATATGTCTTTTCTTTCTTGTTCTTGTTCCTTTTAATTTTCTACTTTCCATTTTATTTTGGTGCCTCCTGCCTTTTCTTGTGCTGTTGCATTCCAAAAGATGTTCAAAACTCACTTCATTTCTACCCATAGTACAGAATTGTCACATCTTCGCCCCTCAAAGGGGTCCACATGGCTCACTCTCCCATGACTTTGCTTCCGTTTCCCCCCTTCCTTTCCAGCTCCCCCCAGACAAAATGTGAAAACCCTGAAGGATGGCGTTAGCCTCTCCTGAGCAAGGAGCCAAGGGTGGACCACAAGCAGTGGTCATCTTTCTGGGTCACCTGACCCAAGAATGAAGCCAGCTGAGCTCCTTGTCCCTCGCATATTGCTCTGGTCCTCCTCTCCCTCCCTACTGAAGGTGTACACTCTATTCTGACCCAGGCCCAGCTGACATGGGGCCCCTGCCCTCCCTGGCTCAGAACCCACATATATCCATTCAACATTAAATCTTTACCAACAGCAGCACTGCATAGTGGTTACCTCCAATCTCCCCCAGCCTGTTACTTCACCCCAAGATCTTGCCCAGGTTGAGGCCAGCTGCATCCTCTGGAATCTTCAGTAGATCCACTTTACCCTGCCATGAAATGAAGCCCAGACTTGAACTTGCTCCTGGGGATGTGCACATCTCAGCCCCTCCCCTCTTCCCTTCAGGGCCTCCATGCCCTTCCTTGAATAGGCCTTGCAGACGAGAAAGCTGAAGTTTTCACCAGGTGATCATAGGCCATAATAAGCTGCGTTTCAGCCTCCGTAGACTGGAGCTGAAATCTAGCAAAATCACCGTATATGAGGATATGCTTAACAACTGCTCTCATAACTATAACTAGTATTACTTTTAGACAATCCAACTCAGGGTTTTACACTTACTAGTTATTTATTTTGGGACTGGAGATCTGCATGAGGAGTTGAGCATACAGCACCATTGAACTACGCTCCCATCCTGAGTTACTTATTTTGCCAGTTCTCTAGTACCTAAATGTTGCATTTCATTGAGTTTCAGTGCTCTCTCTCTCCCCTCACACACGCACACTCCTCCTTGCTCAATAAAAGCCAGCGACGCCACACACCGTTCTTAGACAACCACCTGGCCCTGTCTGCTTCTCACCATCTCTCTGAATGACACACATCCCCGCTTCGTTTTTGTGATGCTAGGGATTGAATCCAGAGCAAACACTCTGCCAGTTAGCCACTGCCCCAGCTCGTGACCCTGGCTTTTCTACCCAAGGTGCTGTGTGCTCGTCTCTTTGTTCCTTGATTTCCCCAGCTTTGTGTCGCCCTGGTTACCTGTCCTCCACCCAAAAGGCATGGACCCTGGTGCAACAACTGTGGGACACCAGAGTGTGGAGGATTCTTCAACAAAAGTCGACACTGATAGACTGGACAGTGTTTCCCCTTGATCATATTTCAGTAAAAGAGACAATAATTTGCCCCCAAAGTTAAAAAAAAAAATCTCACTAACTGCTACACCACAGCCAAGCTCACAGGACCTCTAAGTGGATTATTTCTGAGTTTATCCTAATCCTCACTGATTTGTGTTTAAAAGTCTTCCTTAGTAAGGAATCATTCTTTTTTAAAACCGGGCTCAGATTCTTCCATATCCCATCCGGGGATGGAGAATAAAGAAGGTCCTCATGGAGGCGGCGCTCTCAGTCCCTAGAGTGTTTCGACGTCTGGTGCTGAAAGCTCCAGAGACACACCAAACCAAATCTTCATCAACAGGATGTGCAGAAGCAGAGAGTGGGTTTGAGCGAAGCGTAGAGCTCCCTATTTTGATTGCAGTGGGTGAGTTTAATTCCAGATGGTATTTCCTGACCAACTGCTAGGAACTTGGACCTCAGCAGCATTTGTAGTGACTGCAGCTGAGATCTCAAAATAGCACGGCCGGCCGAGGTGGAGGTTTTGTGACTTTTAAAGTTACATTTCCCTACACCCCGTCTTTGCTCCTCACCCCGCAAGGGCAGGAGAAACCTCCGGGGCTGGCAGGGGCCCGACCTTGGAGGCAAATGCCAATTACAGTGCAGCTACCAGACCTCGCGCTGGGGACAAACGCATGCGTGCTGGTGGAGGCTGTGGCCGGTAGGTCTCAGCCCCTGCACCTGTTTCGGATCTGTCGCACAAGCCCATCATAATTTTCCTTTTAAAGAGGGGGAATATTTATTGATGGTGCAGCTGGAGACAGCCACTGCAGGACTGCAGGAATCCTCTGCTATGTGGCGACACCCACTCCTCAGAGCGGAGCAGGGAGGGACAGACCGCGCTTAGAAAGCGCTTGTGGTCCACGGGGCAGGGCCGGCACCCGCAGGCCAAGGGGCCTCGCAGCTACCCCCGGAGAATGGACTCCGCACTCAGAAGGAAAGGCGTCTGGATCGTAGGCAGCGTGTGCCTCCTGTCGTCTTCAGTCCTCTGGCGGCTGCTCCGCTCGGTGATGACGCGAGGAGGCCCCGGGCAGACGCCCGCTCTGGAGGATGCACAGGTAGTGAAATCCCTTTTAACCTAGACGCGCTCCTTTCGCAGTTCTGCTTCCAGCTGGGCAGGGATGCTGGTCCCGGGCGATGTGGTGCAGGCCCCGCCGAATCTTCGCCCAGGACACCGGCCCAGGAGCGGCCAGGACAGCAGTGGCCACATTTCCAGCCCCTGCAGTGCCTTTCAGGGAACCTCCAGGCGGCCGTGCCTGGTGTATAATGAAATCGGTGATCTATTTTTAGGTGTGAGAGCTAAAAGTAGCATCCACATTACTTCCATCCCTGCCTTCCTATATGCCCCTAGTTCTGAAAAGAAAAACCGTAGGGAAAACTTACAGCTCCTGCTCCTCTTCTGGGGGTCTGCGGCAAAGGGGCCTCAGAGGAGTGTGCAGCCCGTCGGAGTCCGGGCGCAGCCTGTCAGGGTCCCCCTAGCTGCTGCGCTGTGGATTTCCACGTGAGGCTGCAGCTATTCCAAGAATTCAGTCAACAGCAGAAGTCTGGAAGAAGAGAAATAATTACTATTTTAAGGATTTTAGCACTTTCCAAGAGAGGGGTATTTATGTCTAGGGAAACAAAATCCGAAGGGAAGTAAAATATTTTATGACATCTTACTTAAAACAATTTTTTTTTCTTGTTGTTATCTTTCTCTCACCACTTTTACCTGGTCTTCAACTAAGACCAGAAGATTAATTAAACCATTCCAAGATGTGCCGGCTCTTTCTACATCTTTAATTCTTTCATCAGTTAGCATATGACTATTTTTTAACAGTCCTAGACAGTTTAGAAAACATTGCAAAAAGTGGTCTGAGTCACTGTTCCGGTCTTTTCTTTCATTATCATCTGCCCCTTCTGAGACTACAGTGGCATTTTCCCCTCAGTTAACCACCCCAATGAAATTTTATTTACTTTAAATTTTTTAAAATTTACTTTATGCAATGCTGGGTTCAAGCCCAGAGCCTTTCTCTTATTCGGCAGGCACTTTCCTACTGAACTTCCCTTTTCATGAAGTTGTATTGCCACAGATAAACTGCACACCTGTTGCCATATTCTATGTATATGTGCACTTCAGCCATAACAAGGACAAGAACCGATTTTCACCCCTGTGGGGTGCTGTTGCCCCTTTGTCAATGCATGATTTCCAGTTTTAAAAAAGATTTCTCTGGAGGAGGCATGGATGCTATGCCCCGATGCCTGTGTATCCATGCCTCACTGACGTCTTGTTCCTCGAGAAACCACCAACTCTGCCTCTTGGCGTTGCCGCGAGAACTCAGCCACGAGTCCTGCGTCCCTGGTCACCCTGCGGCTTCCCGGTGGGCCTGCTGCGGTAAGCGCTCACCGTCAGATGAATCACCAGATCTTGGCATAGTTTAATCCATCATCAGATCTTGGTGGAGCACAGGGTGGAAGTGGTGGGAGAAAACTACAACGATAAAAAATTCAAAGTAAGATGTCATAAAATGTCATACCTCCCTTTAGGTCTGACCTAACATCATGGTTAGTCTACATCTTCAGGTGTGGCCATAGCTGCCCAAAAGTTAATCTTTTCTGACTGTTTCACATAGCCCCTATGGAAGATTCTAAGACAGCTACATTTCTTCTCTGGGAATTGCAAGGGTTTCATCTTCCATGTGGAAAAGAATGTGCTGCTGAAACTGTGAGGATGTGGCTCTTCTGTTTCCCAGTGAAGATGACTGCAAAGAGCATTGTGGAGATGTATTTTTAAAGATGTTTTTGTGACTTTTTAGCTGAAAATAAAAATCTCTCTTAAGTCAGATTTTACAACACGTCCTTTTAACTTTTCCCATTTTAAATTATTATTTAGAAATGTTGGCAGCCTATGATCTTAGAAATTTCCCCAAGTACAGCAGTTTTAGGAACTGTCTTTCATAGCGACATCAGAGTTCCCTTTGTAATGGTAAGGTACCCTGTACCCATTTGGAGCATAAAGTGATAGAAAGGTTCTCAAATGCACCAAGTATAGCTAGATCCCTGCCCGTATGCAGCTCAGGGTGCTCTAGACCAACCATGCAGATGAGGCCCATTGCAAAATAACTGAAATTATGATCACTTCATATCTTTTCTGTTATTTACTATAATATCAGGAAATTACTTTATCTCTGAAAGTAAAAACAATATTGTTAAAACTATGAATGAGCAAGTCAGGTCTGGATTCATAGGCTAGAGAGTAGTTAACATACTTGACAATGAGATTCCTAAATAGAGTTGACCAAACTATGTTCCTCTCCACTAACTTACATCATTGTGGTTGTAAAATCTACATTTATCGCTTGGTGTTTCCCAGACTTCAGTTTGTCACAGACTGTTTTCATGGTTTTGCTATAAAGTCGGTCCCTGTGTCCAGGGTAGATTCAACCAACTGTGGATTGAAAGTATGTGGAAAAAGGCTGTTGCTTTGTCTCTCTCACCTAAGCAACATGGAATACCCACTACTTACTATGCATTTATACCGGGTTCAGTTTGTAAGTAATCTAGAGATGATTTAAAGTATACAGGAGGAAGCGCGTGGGTTCTCTGTAAAGGCCTAGGAGGAGTCCTGGAACCAGCCTCCCTGGATGCTGAGGGACCACTGTCCTTCGTGTTACTTTTGTTCCCATAAGCATTTTCACACATCAATTCATTTAAATCATTTTCAGCAGAAGCAAAACAAGAGTAAAAGCACCGTTTTGATGTATGACCACAAATCATCTAAAACCCCTCAAAATCGGGTACCCCCAGTCAGCCTCTGGACACCAGGGCTATGTCCAGGGCTTTGGCCTGTGGTCCTCCTATCCCTCTTCCTCCTTTTCTGGCGACAGAGTGGAGACCAGAGAAATGGCGAGGAACAAGCAGCCGCAGTCTTCTCTCTAGAGAGCAGGCAGAGAAAACTGGCAGCGAGAAGAGTTGCTGTAGACATTGCTGTTGGGAAGAGTCGCTCCGGGTTCTTCTGCGCCCAGCTTGCGTCTCTGTAGTGCCGCTCCCAGATTCCTGCCCAGAGCAGGGCCCGAGGGAGGCCCCTGCAGGTGCTTGTGCTGGGAGTTGGCCCCACGGCCTGGGTATCTTGAGAGATGGAGAAGGAAGGGAGCCCAGGGAGGTCTCCCCAAGTTGGCCCTCGTGGGCAAGGAGATGGGTGCACCTCTGCCCCCAGGCTCCCACGTGCCATCCTTGCTGGTCAAAGATAACGGGGCCATTAGCATTCCCAGTGGCTTGCGTGTAAGTGCCAGCTCCCAGGCGGAACGCTCCCCGAGGCTGGAGAACTCGAGGGGAAAGGCTTCAGCCCACACCTGCAGGGTTACGGTTACCACAGCCATGGAAGAGCAAGTGTCCAGCAGCCAAGGAGAAGATGCCCGTAAAGTCTCACCGGCAGCCTCTCAGGCAGGTACTGTGATAAAGCAGTCATCCACTGCCTTAATTATGAGGTGGAGCAGGGCTTTGACCTCAGCAGTGGGGCGCGCTTACCCCTGAAAGCCGCTGAGCATGGCCGCCACACCCGACTTCCCGCATCACCCTGGGATGTCTTGTTAAAGAGTCATCACAGGGCCCCAGCCCAGCCCCTGCGCCACGGGGCACTCCATACCCTTATGCTTGGTGTTGCAGTGAGCAATATCTGCCCTGCGCTATATCTCCAGCCCCACCTGCTGCAGAGTAGCTTGTAGGGCCAAGTACAGAGCTACACTCAGGGGAGAGGGCTGCAGCGGTCACGGTTACCAGCGCTTTGCTCTCTCTGGCTTGAGCATCCATAAGCCCTCTGTCTTCTTACACGCAGAGATAGCTTCTGCGAGGATGTCTGGTGCTCCTGTGATGTGTGTGTGTGTGTGTGTGTGTGTGTGTGTGTGGTTCTGCAGATTGATCCCGGGGCTTCTGCACTGGGCTATATCTCCAGCCCTTCCCTTCTTAATTTTTAGTTAAAATATGAGCAGTGAACAAGGATGCAAAACTGGGCCTGTTCTTTTAGTTTTTATTCAGTTTAAGGCTCAGACTAATGAAATTCTGATAAGGGGTAAGTATAAAAGTGCACTAGAAAGATAACATTCTCATTCATAAATGTGTTTCATCAGCCTATAGCAGAATAAGTATTCGCTTACATCATTACACCTAGATTCTGTCTTAATATACTCAACCCGTAATTACTGATCCCCACTGCTTGAAAGATACTGCCTTGGTTGTGCCCAGATGATGACTCTAGTTTCAAGGACAAATACAGGAAGCTGACAGACACAGTGATTTCACTTATTAGCGGCGATGGCCTCAGGAAGAGGCAGAGTCTGATGAAATGAGATCAGGTCTCAGGGCATGTGTTCTGTATGCAAAGTGTTCTTTTCCTTTAAGTCGGGCTTGGCAAGCCATAGTTATTTAGAAACTTAGAAACATAATAAAAGTGAAGTCTCCTTTCTTCCCAGTGCTGGGATTGAGCTCAGGGCTTTGCATTTGCCAAGCCTGGGCTCTACCCCTGAGCTATAGTCCTCGCCCCAGTTTTTACGTCCTTGAATCCGTCTTCTCAGTTACCTGTTTAGGTGAGGCCTGTCACCCAGGTGAATTATTTATTCACTCATTCTGTTTGATAGATGCGTACACAGTCCTCACAATGCGCCAGACCTTGTTCTAAGTACTTTACAAATGAGAATGCAGCTCAGTGGCAGTGTTTCCCTGGCTTGAGCCTCAGTAACATAACCCCCCCAAAACCTCCCCCACAGCGGCACACCCTTGTCACACCCTCAGGAGGTGGGGCCCCCCATTGGTTGTGTGGATAATGATTACACTTCCATTGTTTACACGGTGCTTATTGAACCCAGGCACGGTGCTAAGTACTTCCGCTACAGTGCGTGTGGCTCCCCACCCCAGCCCCATGCAGTTGTCAGCGTTGTGTCTGTTCTGCAGATGAGCAAGCTGAGGCTTAGTTAGGGACTTGCCCAAACTCATGGCCCTGTGGTAAATGCCGTGGTATTTCTTTCTTTCTTTTTTTTTGGTTTTTCTCCGATACCGGGAACCGAACTCACGACCTTGCGCTTGCCAG